CCTTGGGTTTTAACAATTTTCCATTTGGTTGAGGTTTCAACTCTAACTCTTTTCGATTATACAAAAGTTTCAAATCATTTCTAGCTTTCTCATTATCTTTTGTCTTGCCTTGAACATCCATCACTGTGTTAAATACATTATCAAAAAAATTCTTCTCAATATGCATAACATCAAGAACGCAACAAATTATCCTTCCAATATGGTAGGTCCCAAAAAATACTTCTTTTTATCCAATTGTGTGTGTTCCCGTATCCTGGAATCTTGCATGCTTTACCATGATCTTGGAATTTTGAAAGGTCATAAACATTATTCCATACATCAATTGATGACAACCAGGGGGGGGGGGGAGGATCTGTTTCTTTTTTTCCTTTTTTAAAAGTATTCTTATTTCTTCTAAATTCATGGTTTCCAGGTAAAAACCTACGGTGACAGTCAAACCACGAACTTTTCCCACCATTTCCAAAGTAAATACTTTTGTGTGTCCCATGCAACGCGGACATCCCATTTTGCCATGCGTACCCCAACCAGACAGCATGGCATATGCAGGAAAGTCGTTAATTGTCTACATCAAAGCAGCTCGCATATTAATGTTTTGTTTGCACGACATATCATAATTCCATTCTCCTTTCCACAACCTCTTCAAATCATCAATTAAAGGTTATAAATATACATCTATTCCTGCCTTTGGACTCGACGGTCCTGGAATGATGCATGTCAAAAACATATACGGTTTGGTCATACACATCTCAGGAGGGAGATTGTATGGGGTAACAATAACTGGCCAACAAGAATAGGCAATTGCTGATGATTGGATATAAGGAGTAAAACATCCGAGCATAATCCAAGCCTGACATTTCTGGGTTCTGCTGCAAAATCTGGATTTACTCTATCAAAGTGTTTTCATGCCTCCCCATCAGATGGATGTCGCATCATGCCCGATACTTGTTATGTTTCGTATGATGCCATGTCATTTGGTTTGCACTGTGCAATTGATGCAAACATCCTTTGCAACCTAGGTATTATTGGCAGATAGAACATCGACTTCACTGCAACTCGTTTTTGCTTTCGATCAACGCCTTTACTGCGAACTAAATACCTCGACAATCTTACAAAAGTTACATTCCTTCAAAGCCCCATCATTTGTGCCAAACCTCATTGTCATAGAATAGTATATAACCTCCAATGCAACAATCAATCTTTTTTACTTCTAATCCCAACTTCGACACCATCCTCTTTGCATCATAGTAACCTGTAGGCATGTTTTCTTTCACAGGAGTCGCATCCAACATCATTTTTGCAAAGAACTCCAAACATTGATCTGGCACATTCCAATTTGACTTTGCATCCAAGAGTCTCACACACATTGAGAGCCTAGAGTCAGAAAATCCCTCAAATAATGGTATATTTATCTCTTTCAACAACTGATAAAACTTTTGTGCATTCTCATTCGGAAGCTCTTCCGCATCAAAGTCTTCAGGTTCATCGTAAGCCACATTGACTCCAAATGCGTCACTTACCATATCCTCTAATAGATTAAATTGCTTCTGGTATTGCATTTGTGCTTGACTACTCGAACCATCTATATTTTTGTCTGGTCCAACATATGTTTGATTTCTATAAGCTTCCATATTCATCTCTGGCAATTTTTCTCCATTAGATGACCAAACCCAATAATTTGGCCTAAACCCCACTCTCTCCAAGTGTTGTTTCACTTCACTACGGTCACTGATTATATTTCTACAATCACACTTTAAGCATGGACATCTTACCCCTCCATCTCTACGACACCATTCGTGAGTAAACGCATATGTGAGAAACATATAAGTCCTTTCTTAAATTGTGGTTTAAGCCCACGTCTTCCTGGAAACATTCTATCATACATCCAACTACGATAGAATTGATAATATTTCATACTGCACATTTATAACATTATTTATGTTTAAATTTATTAGACAAAAGGGGGGAGTAATAATATATCAACAAATTTTTAAGATTTTATCAATAAATATTCTTTAAACTAAATAAGAATACTAAATAACTATAATCATGCACAGTTTTTATTAATAATACAATATACTAAATAAGTAAGTATACTATTTTTTTTATATAAATTAAATATATTATGTTTTATTTAAATTAAATATACTTTTTTTTATATACTAAATAAGTAAGTATACTATTTTTTTAAATAAGTAAGTATACTATTTTTTTTTATATAAATTAAATATATTATATTTTATTTATACTAAATATTTAAATTACATATAAACTAAATATACTGTTTTTCTATAGACTAAATATATTAATATTATATAGATCAACTATATATTTGATATATTTTATATAAATTAAATATATCTTTTTTATATAAACTAAATATATATTGTTTTCCAAAATAACTAAGTAAACTATTTATAAACTAAATATATTGTTTTTTTATATAAATTAAATATATTTTATTTTATTTAAACTAAATATTTATTAAATATATTAAGTATTTAAGTTAAATATAAATTAAATATATACTGCCTTTTTCTATAAATTAAATATATTATTATTTAGATTAATTAAATATTTATTATATTTTATATAAACTAAATATATTTTTTTAATATAAATTAAATATATAATATTTTTTAAAATAACTAAGAATATACTATTTATAATCTAAATAAACTGTTTTTTATATAAATTAAATATACGTTTTTATATAAACTGTTTTTATGATATATAATATATAATATATAAACTATTTAATATAATTAAATATATAAAATGTTTTAATATAATAAAATATATAATATATTTTGGAATAAAAAATTTAATATATATAAACTGTTTTAATAATCTATTTAATATAATGAAATATATAATATATAATATATTTTCGGAATAAAAAATATATAATATATAAACTGTTTTAATATACTATTTAATATAATAAATATATTTTATATAATATATTTTCGAAATAAAAAAAAATAATATATAAACTGTTTTAATATATTTTTGGAATAAAAAAAATATAAAATATATATTATATTTTCATAATAACATATATAATTATATCAACTAAATCTAATACATATCTAAACCAATTTAATTTACCTAAATATAACATATAATTCAGAAAAAATTTCAATAAAAAAATAAAATAAATTACATATCTTGAAGCTTTATTAAACAAAGCTAGTGTTGATGGAGGAAAAAAATGAAGGAAATGAGGAGGATGAGAGTTGCAGAGAAGAAAAAAGAAGAAATTTGGATAGTTTATGAAAGAAATGGAAGAGAAAGAGGAAGATATAGAGTGCAAACGGTATAAAACTTTGTTTGAGGTTAGCCCCTCGCTAAGTGTCAAACGGTACCATAATTAGCTTGGGGCTAGCTCCTCGCTAGCTGACACAAATGTTGTTTTCCTGCCACACGCAAGCTGGTTCAGAGATGGTTCAGGCGTAGCAGTGATGTGAAAATGGACCTGGGGTTAGCCCCTCGCAAAACTACTTATTTGTTGGCGAGGTGATGGCCCCTCGCAAATGGCCAACGGCTATTTTTATTGGCGAGGTGATACCCCCTCGCTAAATAATTTTTCTTTTTCCCATGTGTCATCCCCTCGCAAATGGCCAGCGGATTTATTTTCAAACTCCCTCCTAAAATTTAACTACGGGGAGCTCCAAATTTTAAACTTTTTTTTTTGTATATTATTTAGCCAGGAGATAACCCCAAGCTAATGTTAAATTTAGTTAGGGGCTTAACCCCTAGTCATTTGCCCCAAGCCGAATCACATTATTTTTGTAGTGAAATATATTTTAAATTAAATATTCATTTTTTATTTATAATTTAACAAATAATTACAAATGACAATTTAGTATATAGTTTTATATATAATTTAACAAATAATTATTTATAATATTTTAATATATATTTATATTACTTGTAATTAGATTAGATTGAGCTTTTATGAAATTTTTTGTTATACGTTTCCTTAAAAATAATATTAGTTAAATATAATTAGTAAAACTAAAATTAAGATAATAAATATTTATATTTAATATGTTTTAGCATTCTACTCTCTCTCAACATTTACATATGTCATACCATTTTTTTACGTGTTAAAATATAAACAGATTGTTACATTGTTTTGTTGAATTTTAATTTTAATTTAAATTATTTTTTATATTAAATTTTGTGATATATTTTTATATTAAATTTTATGATATGCAATCTCATATTTGTCTATCCGTTTTTAATGCGCAAGTAAAAATTATTATAAAAAAAATCATACTTTCATTTTGATTTAAATTAAATTATTTGTAATTAATATTTACATATTGTAACTCCTATTTTGATTTTACTCCCTCTCACACTCAGAAAGTATTGTACATAGAAAGTTATAACAGTTTTGATTAATGCAAATTGATATAGTGAAAAAAGAGAAATCATATACTTCACTTATATTTTATTTAATTTTAGTTATATGATTTAAAATTATGCATCAAACGATATACTAATTTTATCTCATTTGTATGGCAATGTTAATCAATATCAATGTCCCTGATAATAGTTTTCTACTTCTCTTTCACAACAATGAGAATATATTTCAAAAGATATAGAAGTTATACTTCAATTCTTTTGGTGACCGGCAAAAGTTTCTAATCACACAATAGTTTATTAATAATAAGAAATTAAATAGCCTAAAAATCCTTTTATTTATAGTCAAGACTTAGTTTATATGTAATTGACATTTTTGAAATAATTAAATAAATCTTAAAATAGAGAAAATCAGGGAGATGTAATTACAGTAGAAATTTTTTAAATTAATACTCGGTAAATTAATAAATTTTCTAAAATAATAATTTTTTCTGGTCTTGACTTGAGCCAATGTAAAAAATTGAAAAACTCGATAAAATAATAAGATAATAATTTTTCGGGAGATCTCTTTATAATTTTCAGTCCCAAAAAATCATAAATTAATAATTCATAAAAACTGGAAAAAAAATATATTACACTCTATTGAAATATGATTCAATAGTTGTCTGTTTTTCTTTAAAATTCAAGTCTATTTGAAGCTCATCTCTAACTTTTCTTATTGCATCTAATAGCTCAGGTGTTGTATTTTTATATTGTATCATAAATTTGTGAAGAGTGTTCGACGCCATAAGTGCTTCTTTTCGCGTAACAGGCTCCAAAGATACCGTATCATCTTCGTCGTCATCCTCTGCATTGTTCTCAATGATAGTACCCACAATATCTTCTAAACCCTGAACCTCCGAACATGCTTCATTTTCACCTGGGTAGTTCATTAGATTGTCGATATCCATCTTATTACGATAGCCACATTGATTGATCATAGTCTCGAGGTCTTGAGTTTCTTCAGCAAAAGTGAATTCATCCAAATTTCTTGCAACGTCACTAGCTGATCGAATTTTACAGTGTCGGAAACAATTCACTATTGTTTCTTTTCGAACATCTATCGTCCAAGATGGGATTGCCAAATTGATAGCATCAAAGACATTTATCTTACCTGGATCAGATTGTCCCACCTCATAACCTTCCTATTTTGCGGTAAAACCTTCTACGATAATGCATCTTGAAAGCTCTTATTATCCCAGCATCGCAAGGTTGAATCTTTGATGTCATGTTGGGTGGAAAGAAGAACAACTCAACGTTTCTTAGCCCTTCAAGATTTCTTGGATGTGCTGGACAATTATCCACCACAAGTAGAACTCTTCTACCATGCATCATTTAGTCAAATGAACGAACATATTCATCAAAAAGTACACTAATCATCCATGCTTTTTTGTTAGCTCGATATTGACAATCCAAGCTATTCATGTTGACATTCTTGAAGCAACGAGGCTTTGCATATTTCCCAATAATCCATAGAGGGATTTTTTCATAGCCATCTTCATTGCAACAAATAACTACCGCCAGCCTTTCTTTATCTTGTTTTCTTCCGTCAAGTTGTTTTATTTCCAGTGAATGATCAGCTTGTAGCCTATAATACAACCCAGTTTCATCCATATTGAAAACATCTTTCATAGAGAACTGATCAATTTTCTCCCGAATCGATACCAATTTCTGCTCCATGTCTTATACATCAATAGACCCATTCTCGTCAAAACGACGAAATGACCTTATGCCATGTCGGTACTTGAATTTCCCAAGCCATCCTATAGAGAAGTTAAAATTTGAATCATCATGAGGATACACGAGTTTCATTGTATCTCTTGCCTTCTGCAAAATTAATTCTCCTGTGATATTCACATGTTCTTGATGCTGGAGAAACCACTCATAAACAACCTTCTCCATGTCAGGATATTTTGCTGGTTTGTGTCTTTTGATCTCTGCTCTTCCCTTTTCTATTTCAGCAGAAAGATAGTCATTTGGCCGCTTAAGTGTGTTTGATATTGTTCCTTGACTAACTTTCAACTGAAATTTTCCCTCAAGCCATCTCTGCAAGTCTTTTTGTGTGCTTGCAGGATTATCTCTCTTGTACTCACACAACTCCTTACGTATTTGATCTGACATAGTTGATTTTACAACATCTTTTAGATGAGAAGCCATCTTGTGAGATATGGTTTGAATACTCTAACACATTCATGTAATTTATATATGCCAAACTTGTTTAAGAATACATTGAACACATTTATTCTTTTTGTTTACATTTATTATACTTCAAAAGTCATTATTGATTTCCAATGCATATGAACACAGTAGTTACTAATTTACGTTGAGTCTCAAGGTTCGCTGCAACGTAATTCTAAGAGACATAGACTAATTTGCCTTTTTGTTTGGTATGTACAGTATAATTAGTTAAAAACTCTTTAGATTAATAATTATTAATTTATCGATAAATTAATAACTCTCTAAATTAATAAATTTCTTTTGTCCTGACATTATTAATTTAAAGAGTTTCTACTGTATGCTTTATCAATTTTAATAAAAAATAAATTGTAAGAAAGATATAACAAATAAATACAATCAAATAGTAATAATTATTTAAAGATTATAAAATTGCATTATCATGGTTAAAATTCTTATTTAAAGTAATGGTTAAATATTCAATAATAAGTCCCTGAAATTTAACAATCATTATTGGAAAAATCGCCACAATTTCTAAACTAATTAAAAAAACATATGAATATTAGGAGCATTAATACATGCGCATGAGCAAGTATTTTGAGAGACACATATCACTTATTTATTTAAAATTTTAAAGTGATATGTGAGTAAATTATCTCACTTATATATAATTAAGTCTCTCTATCTCTATTCAATATAAAACTATTTCTTCATTTACTCACACTTACTATAATTATTCTAACAAAAACATAATTAAAATAGAATCAAATAAATTTACGACAATTATGAATCGAACCAATTTTTATATGTTCACCCTCTTCAACCATTATAGCCACTTCGTATACCATATACTCCATGTTCAACAGGAGCCTGAAAAACAACCAGAAAAATAATTATTAACATCAATGAGAAAAAAAGAGAAATAATTTTTCCATAAAAACTTATTAACATTGACATGTAACTGTAAACAGCAGCCGAATCCCTATCCCTGCAAGATCACTCTGTAGATGAATTCAAAGTTATTGTTTCTAACAAAACAATAAAAAGAACTTCATGCAGTCAAGATTATCCAACAAATCATTATTAAAAACATTTAAATTGAAAGAAAAAAAAAAAAGATAAACATATAACTCTCAACCGGAATGATTCATATGGAAAAAGTGGCCAAAGCAAATAAATGATTTTGCTTTGTATATAGTAAGGCATGGTGAGTGAATAAAATGAAAGAGATAGTTATATAAACACAATTTTATGTAACTTGTATTTCGAAAGTTTGACATATGATGATTTATGGTTTAGGTTTTTATGAAAAAAATTGAGAATGCAAAAATATTGAAGTTGAATTGTGTTTATATGAATCGAAAAATGACATGAAAAATTGTGAAGAGTGATGTAAATTGTGAAGGGTAACATAGATAAAAAGTGGCTGTAATAATAATTTTTAATAAATAATTAAAATTTGAATTTGAATCAATAAGATTAAAATAAAATATGGTGTTAATTAATAAAATAAAAAATAAAATAAAAATTGTTGAAGTGACAATATTTATTATTAAATATGTATATTTGTAATAATTTATAGTTAGTCATTTTTAATTCTGAAATTAGAAAAGTTATCATGTAATATAAAAAAAAAAAGAGTGATTTTTTCATATATTTTACTTTTTTATATATTTATAATAGATAATTTTAGTGTGCTTTCACTTAAAATAATTTAAATCACTCCATTATAATATACTACATTCAAAATCATGAGGACACCAATAGTTAAACAAACGTATTTTGATATTAATTGTATAATAAAACCGTTCTTTGCACATCACAGAACTTTAATATTTTCTTTTTATTATTTCACTTGCTTCACTTTCAACCTGGGCGATAGAGATACAAATCATTCAACAATAAAAAATAGTAATTAAAATTTAAAAATGCTCAGTTTACTTTCTATCCGTTCCAAACAAATTTTAATATTCTTATAAAGTGGTTTTTAGGTAAGCAATTTTTTAAATGATAATACAATTATTATTATTTAGTTAGGTGATGATGACTGGTGTGGTGGTGACATGTCTATTCATAAGTAATTGTCTTACTCAATCGTATTAAATTGAAATATGGTGATTGGTGCCAAAATGAAATACTTATGAGTCAAGTATCTTATAATTTTGATTTAAGAATTCTTATCTAAGTCTTTTTCCAGTGAAAATTATCTATCCGTCTTATAATAAGTATTTTTTATTTGTATTTTTTTTTATATTTTAAAATAAATGTTTCTTAAAATATTAATATAATATTTATTTATTTTATTGATTATTATATTTTTATTTATTAATTTTTTACAATTTTCAATTATTTTACTAACTATAATTAATAACGGTATTTTAATATATGATATTAATTTTATCATTAAAATTTATTCATTCAATTATTTTGTTAAAAATTGCACAAAACTTAAATAAAATACTTTTTATAAAATAGAGGAAATAGTGAGTGAAATTTTACTTCTCAATTAGAATCTACGAGTTCAAGCCTGAAAAACCATAAAATTTAAACAATGAAAAAGAAGATAAAAAACTATATAAAAAATTAAACTATGTTTTTCATTTGATTTATGATCTTCAAAATTTATTAAACACTACTTGTTGGTTATAGTAGTTGTTGAAAAGATGTTCTAATACTAGGAAAAAAAAAGATATTGATAATTTTGTAATTAGAAAAATGAAAACGTGTACTCACAATAATTTTTAGGTTCAATTCATTTGCATCAATTATTATATATTAAATATAGTTGGAGTTAACTATGAATTTCTTTTCATAATATTTTGAATACCTTAATACAAATTGCATAAACACATTAAATTTATTTTTTAATGATATGTTACAGAAAAGTGTTTCTTATACTTTATCAGGAAGGAAGTTGGGCTCCGTTGTTACATCCCAAAATTTATCCTCTTGATTTTACTCTTATCTGGCTTAGATTTTGCATATTCATTTGCATCATCTTCATTATTCAATTGTATATCGTTGCATTCCATTGAATTAGTCATCTTGGTTCAAAAGATCAATGGTTATGTCAGCTAGGGTTTCACATTGGTTTTGAGTTGTACATATCAAGTAAGGCTTATTTATATGGTTCTTCCTTGAGAAGTGGACTATGGAATTAGGGTTTTGAGGTATGGTTATTGTGGATTCCTTCTTATTTATTCAGCTACAAGACTATTCTCCATCCGTATTCATCAATGCAAAGGATTAAGGTTTGTTTCCTACCCAAGGTCAAAGGTTAGGGTTTGTGGAACTAGGGTTGTGTTTCTCTCATCAAGTTACTACAAGGTTTTTTCAAGTGCATCAAGATGCTAGGGTTTCCTTCAGTATTTCAAAGGAGGATCTTGTGATCCAGGGTTTGGTTTCTTTTCAATACCTCAAGTCACTTCTTCTTCAAGAGCTTCAAGGCATGATCTTTAAGGTTTCATAATTTCTTCATTTGAGATCATTTTGAATTGGGTTTTTAACGTCAAGGGGCATCTCAAGGAGGATTAGGGCTTCTTCCCCATGGAGTTTGAGTTGTCAATATTCATCAACTGAGACTCATTATATTTTCATGACAAAGTTATCTTAGTCATACATATTTCCATATGCATTTCTCAAGGTTTCTTCAAGGCAATATTATGATGTTGATTATGAAATCATGGCACAAAAAGTGAAGTGGTGATCAAAACTTTTGTTTGTTGCTTTCAATGTGATTAACTTGGTTTATTGATTGATTAGGGTTTGTTTGAGAAGTGGGAATTAATTTGAATTCATTGTTTAAGAGAATTCACTCAAACTTCTAAATGTGTTCAAGTTAATTAGATCAAAATTTGTTGAGGTTCAAGTAAGCTAAGGATGGGATGTTCATGTATTTGGTTTGCTTGGAATTTGAGTCACAAGTTGCAATACTTTTACAAGGCATAGTCCCAACTTAAATTGCAAGGCGTATTCATCCATCATGAATTCAAGATCATTCAAATACATTCAAGCTTCACCAAATTCAAGTTCTATGCAAAGTGCCATATCCCAAATTTGTCCGCCCTTAGTGCTACCGACAAATTTATTTTCGAAATTGAGTTTTAAAATTCCTTTGGTTTAATTACATTAATATTTTGGGGTTTTATAAATATTCGTTCCCAAGTCCAGTTAAAAATATAATAATTTATTTCAAATCATTTATATTTTTAAATGATAAATACTTGCTCATCTTCATGTATTTTAAAAATTGACTCTTTATTTCGAATAAGTAACATAGCATAATTGGTATAAAAAATGAAGCTTGCAAATATGAAGTCGCGGGTTCAAATCTCTTATGGTGCACTTTTTAACATTTTTTTGTATTTCTTTTTGTTACTAATTTTCTTTCCTTTTTCAGAAATCGGGCTCGGGCTTTTCATACATTTTAGATAACTTAGTCTCTAAGTTTTTTCTAACCTAATTCAAGTCTATAAATAGGACTCTTATTTATCCTAAAAATTCATCCATAATTTTGCAATTGCACACACACAATCAACAACTTCACAATTACAAAATATTTTTGCAATTTCTTCTCAAAGTTTCTACTTGGGTTTTTTTGGCCAATGATTTCATATGAGGCCACCCATCTTGTTATTTCAATTTTATCATTTTCTTCTTTTTAATTTGGCTTTTTAAACCACATGATGCTTGTTCTGATGGGTATATTTGAAAATTTATATTTTCTGTAGAAATTTATGCAATAATTTCTAACCAATTTCTCACTTATATATATTTTCTTACTGATATTCATGAACTGCAAGTGTTGTACCCCAAAATTTGCCCTCTCATTTTATCAACATTTCTCATCACAAGACTCTTGGAACTCAACATAAGCTAGGGTTTGCTCTGCTCAAGACACCTCCTTGCACTGTTGACCTAAATTAGGGTTTGAGTTTGCACAGGGATTTTTGGACCTTCAATGCCCAAATTTACTTTCATAC